ATTCTCATGTCGTTGTCTGCAGAGACTTTCCAAAGCTTGTATTTCCGAGACTCCGTATAACCATCCCAGGAGTGTGCTAGGAGCCCTCGTAAATGTGATGCCAAGAGGGGGAGCAGCAGCCTTAGTAATCCCACTTCCTCTTGCAACCAGAATCACGTCGCCCTAAGTCTTGAAAATCTCAAACAAATACACTCAAGAAGGAATGTGCAAAAGGAGGAGGAAATGTCATCCAGTCCCCTAACAGCTAATCGGCTCTAACTGTACGCCTCAGGGCTGAACACACAGCCCTGTCTCAGCTACACCACCCTCTGTGCCTTATAGCTGACTGATAGAGAAAGCTGATTGTCACATAAGCAGTCAGCGAAGAGCATGATGTAATGATGTGTGGGGCAGAGAGCCTGAGAGGCACGTGTGTCTGCTAATGCTTCCTTCTAACAATCACGTCGGTGTGAAGAAACAACTGTGTACTTGTTGTGTATAAACTCAGAAGTGCAGACACACCTGTTTGCAGAAGGCCACAGACCAGTCAGATGCTCATAGGCCTTAGTATATCTATATGAACAAGGGTGGCGGAGAAAGCCCCCTGAAGAGATTGACTATGATTTGGCAGACCAGCCGCGGAAAGCAGTCCGAGTATGGTGAACAGTGGCGCTGGTGTGAGTCCAGTTGTGACAGCCAGAATGAATGTGACTGGCAGCCCTGTCTGAGCCTGGGGACAAGCGGTCCCCTTTCGGGGAAGTCGCTTCAACCCCTGCTTCCAGCCTAACTCCGAAGCGCCCCACAGGGCTCACCTCCAGTGTCTACAAATGAGATTCCTTGTGCCACCTCCCTTGAACAAAATTAGCAATGTGGTGCTCACTTAGTGCCTTTTATGTGCACACATCTGTGCTAAGCCTTTTGAATGCATTATTCCTTCATCCCACAATACGTGAAATGGCAGCGCTCTTTCTTACGTGGTAAAAGGCCTCACCCTCCATGGAAGGGGCCATGATTTTGATTCCATGTTGAGCCATGTGTCTTCCCAAGCAGATTCATGAGGACAGAGACCAGAGACTACTCCTATTTGACCCCCTCCCCCCCGACCCCCGCGCCTAACATGGCAGGCCTGGCACAGATAGGAATTCACTGATGCTTGTGAAATAAACAGGGAGAGATTGCCAAATGCACAGCAGAGCTCTGGGTCCACAGACACCAGGCAGATCGCCAAAGAAGACCAGAGAAGCTCAGTCCTCACGGGCAAGGCCCTAGAAAGCCAGGCTCTCAGAATTGCAGAAGGCTGTAACACAGTACAATCTGATAGGCTGCTGCCCCTGAGCCCTGCCATTTGATGGTCTGATATATCCAAAAATCCTCTCTCTGATACAAGTTAAGTTTTGCCCTGGGAACACAGGCAGGTTGAAAAAATAGAGTTCAGGGCCTGGGCTGGAAAGGAGAAGAAGATCTAGGGATGAAAAGCAAAATATTAAAACGTATGCAACGCAGGTATTGACAGTAGGCGTGGCCACAAGCTTTCAGTTATTAAACAGGTCATAGGGCCTCCTACGAGCCAGACAGCCCAGTGGTTGTTGGGTCTTGGGCTAGTCCAGTGGTTCCCTGGAAAAAGCCAGAGCAGACGGTAAACACTTGGCTGGAAACTCTCAAACAGCTACAGCATTTCCATATATATGCATATATACACATATATATTAAAATTTAACTGGATAAGTGTTTTGCCTGCATGTGTGTGCACCACCCATGTGTCTGATGCCCTTGGAGGTCAGAAGAGGGCATCAGATGCCCTGGAATTATCACAGATGGTCGTGAGCTGCCATGTGTGTGCTGGGAACTGAACTTGGATCCTTTGCAAGGACAAGTGCTCTTAACCCCTGAGCCATCTCTCCAGTCCCAGTGAGATTGAAATTTGATTATGAGAATAAGCCATTTTTCAAAAGCCACTTGTCCTATTTTGAGGGTTTTATTAAAACTAGATAATACTGTCTGTGGCTCTACTTACCAGGCACAGAAAAGCTCTAATGTGGCAGTCCCCACTCTTACCTCAGGACCTTTAGTATACTCTGTGGAAATTGACTTTTGACATGCAGAACAAGAGTCTGAGTTCCACTTAGTAAAATTTATTTCTCTTACAGATAAGTACAAGCTCTAGTACATTTCCCCTTTGCTGGTGGGAATGGTCTTTAAGGTGCCTATATTTTCCTGGTTTGGGGGACCAAGGCAGGATCACATATTAAGTGAGTGAACTTAGTGAATTCTGGCACAGCCTGGACAATTTAGTGAGACCTTGTTTCAAAATTAAAATAACAGAAGGCTGGGGTATGAGCTGGGAGAAGAGTGTTTCCTGTATCCAAAGGGCTGTGGGTTCAGTCTTCTATACCACTCCCCCATCCTTCCTCCCCCCCAAAAAGAAAGAAAAAGAAAAAAAGATGAAGTACTTACCCTTTTGGAGTCATGGAACTGCGAAATTGTCTTTCTTCTTTGCTAGTTTATAAATCTAGAGCTTCTAGAAGTAAATTTCTTTAAATCTTTAAAATTGCCAGTTGCTAAACAGTCATTCATTTTCCTGAAATACAAAAGCATTTGATGGAAGTCAGCCAAGAGACACACTTAAGCTTGTAGAGAGAAGCAGGCTGTTATTAAAGGCCACGGTGTCCATTAATAAAGGTGATGTCATAATTAAATGCCTGGAATCCCTGCAGCTAAGGAGAGGCAAACACAGTCTTTCCAAATCAGTTAACAGTCACTGACCTAGTGGTATTTGGTAAGAGTGACCAGTCCAGCCATGTGTGGTGGGGCACGCCTTTAGTCCCAGCACTTGGGAGGCAGAGGTAGGCAGGTCTCTGTTCGAGGTCAGCCTCGTCTACAGAGTGAGTTCCAGGACACCAGGGCTGCATAGTGAGACCCTTGGAGGGAAAAGAGAGGAGACCAGACTGCAGGTCAGGTAGCCTCCCACAGAGGAATCTGGGAACTAGTGTGATGGCCCTGTCTGCCAAGCTGTTGCCAAGTACCAAAGATGTATGAAACTGGTAACTAACTGTTGAGTCCACGGCTACATCAGGCCATTCCCACCTGCAGAAGCCTCTTTCTTACAGCTGCCATAGAGGAAATGGCAAGGTTGGTCACTACCAAGAGGCTCTTTGGGGATCTCTAACCAGAATCCTCAGGTGTCTACATTTCATGAGAATGATGGATGCTCCTGTCATTTTTCCAAGGAAGTTACACACTCAGATTGCCAGACTCCAGGATTACTCCAGGATTACACAATATTACCACTAGCAGGCATACCGAAGCAATGTAAGGGTGCACCCTAACAAAATACCCCTCTTATCCCACAGCCACAGAAAAGCATATTCCTTCCAGAATTCCCTCCCCTGCCTCCACCCCTTCCTCCCAGGAGTCAGGAACAGATTCCACAAACCTCTCCGCTTCCTCTGAAATTTATATTTTTTAAAAAAAGGAGCTTCAGCCAGAAACATATGTATAAGTAACAAGATATAAACTGTGTAAGTTGTGTTTATGTACTTAAGAATGTATGCATACATATAATACAAACACATATGTAACAACACTTTTATTTTTAAAAGGCTGTGAAATTGAAAAATATATGGAAAGGGGGAATATCTGGGAAGGTTTAGAGGAGAGGGAGAAGAAATTATATAATTATAACCTCAAAAACACTTTTAAAATATTAAAGAGAGGTATCCCACTCTGACTCATGGGTCTGCTGTACACCATATGTCCCTGATATGCTGTCTGTATATCTGTCTATACATAAGTATATACCATTAATAACCCTTCTAGTAAACCTTCTACCCCAAAAGACAATCTGCCTCAGTGCCCCCTCTGAACTCCACGTCTCCAACCATTCGGAAAAACCTTCCTTGGATGAAGAAAAATAAACTTTGGAATTTTATGTGTGGAACAGTTTGAATGTCCCTGTGAGTGCCTTTTTAAACAGAGAGTGATGAATCTTAAGGCAGACCTCTCACAGAGACCAAGTACTTCCCAGAGAAGAAACTGTCCTTCAAGACATGCAGGAGCTGATTCGTCCTTATCACTTTATAAATCCAGGGGGAAGCCAGTCTCTGAGATTCCTGGCCTTCAAAACATACAAACAGGAAGTGAAAGGTGCAAAAAACTCTTCATTCTCCCTCTTCACCAATTCTTCCCCTCGGATCAAATCTACTACCATCTAGCCTAAGATAATCATGGCAAAACTACCTTGCCCAATGTATTCACTGGCCACTACTTTAGCCCTCTTGTCTATAAAGGGAAAAGCTTAACACGCTCCTCACAGTGGTTGTGGGTGGAATATAGGATAAAACTGTAAATCCAGCGATAATGGCACAAAAGCAAAGTGGAATGTCAGTCGTTGATAAATCGAATGAGTTGTCAAGTCATGAAAAGGCACAAATGCCTTAAAGCAATGAAGTTTAAGTGAAGGAACCTAGTCTAGAACGTCTTCATGTTCTATTGCCAGTTGCACGGCATTTAGAAAAGGTGAAACTGTGAAGATAGTGAAAGAAGATGAGTGGCTGCCAGAGCTTTGGCAGAGCAAGAAGGGATAAACAGGTAAAGCCCTGGGGATTTTGTAGAACCATTTACCTAACAGTTTCCGTGAAGATGGTGGAGGAAGTGTCTGCTTAAGTAGCTTTGGAAAATAATGACGTTTGTAAGACAAAAGGCAAAAGAATTTCATAGCCCCGTTTATAAAGTTGCTTCCTCTAAAGGTATAAGATGGAGAGACATATTCAGGAGTGTTCTTCTGTTCTGTGGATTGAAACTTCACTTTTTAAGAAGGCAAAATCTAGTCTGATGAAGTGCCTGTCTTCCTCATTTAGTTCATCAGGGGACACAAAAATATCTAGCACGGGAAAGCCCCCCTTTTAAACAGCAGGAGGTCCATCCGTTTTTTGCTGATTTACACTAACTCTTGACATCTACAGGCAGGACCTCTGTGCCTTGGTCTCCTGTATGTTCACTGCGTGTGTTCCTTTCTTCTCCAGGGCATGGCCTTTACACTGGAAGAAAGGCTACAGCTCGGCATCCATGGCCTAATCCCGCCCTGCTTCCTCAGCCAGGATGTCCAGCTCCTCCGCATCATGAGATACTATGAAAATCAGCAGAGTGACCTGGACAAGTAAGTCAGTGCCTGAAATCCATTCTCTTTGCTCAGTCCTGAGGCTCACAGAGGGTTTTCTGAATTCCAGACTCTCGGGAAAGGCTGAAAGTCTGGAAAGACTTCAGATCCAGCTCTGTCCTTAAAAGCAGTGGCATTCTCCCTAGAGATGAGGGTTACAGCAAAAGCATAGCCACAATGACGCTAGACTGACAGTGGACTCTGGGAGGTGTTATGTGAGAGGTGTTAGAGATGAGTCAGTCCCAGAAGCCTTGATGAAACAATTCAGCAGACAACACCGGGCTGGGGGAGGGCAGTCCACTGAGCAGAAGGAGAAGAGGCAAAAATGGAGTGATGAGGCTCCTAAGGAATAAGAAGAGGAACAGTGCAGAGAGGGGAAATGGAGAGGGGATATGTTGAGAAGGATCTAGATGCCATGTCGAAGGTCATGGGCAGAAAACAAAACAAAAAAAGCACTGCTTCCTCTGAGCACTCCTCAGTGGAGACACAAAGAGCCCCTTTCGGAGTCCTTGAGTCAATGCTAAGTGCTACTGAAGACTGTAGTCGCCACCCAGGTGCACACAGCTGGCTCCATCATCGTCTGTAATTTGAACTCCTCTCCTACACATCATTCAGAGGGGGCAAAGCCTAGTTGTTATAAGACTAATTCTAGACTAAGTGACATCCACCATCCTGCACTGAATAACTAAAGCTACTTTGTCAATCTCCGTCCTTCACTTGTATGACTGTGTCAATGGTATATGACTCATTAGGTTTTACGAGAATGAAATGCCTGTCTTTGTGACGGGCTTAGAATGTTCTCCGGGACATAGCAAGCCCTAAGTTTGTTAAACAAATATCTCATCTTGCTATGGGCTCTAGTGGCTATGTAGGAAGAAGATGGCGGCTCTCTATATCCATAGAGCTAAATGGCTAGGGCTTTGGTCCAGGGGTATGGCAGCTATAAGGGGCAGAGTTTGGTAGGACATGAGGCACTTCCTGCATCTGGCTCCTGCTGCCTCCTCCAAGCCACCCATATCTTCTAAAGAGCAGTTACCAAGCATGCCCCTGCCCACAACCATGTCCCCGCTCCTAAAGCACTAAACTCACATTAATCCCAAGGCCATTTTACCACTAAGTCAAATGTTCTTTCCCTTTTGTTCCTCTCCACTCACACTAAATCTAGTTACATCATCTTGAAGAGCAAACCAGAGGCTACACCACAGATTCTACTAATAAATTGATACATGTCCAAACTCTTCTTCTGTTAGGTGCACCAAAAAGATGGGAGTTGAAAGAGAAATATTTGCTTGAAATATAAAATTGTGAAAGCTCCATTCTGAAATGTTTGCCTTCTTACTTCTTTATTTAAGCATACAAAGCAGTGAAATTTTATTGATAAGAATATATACTTAAAAAAAGAATATATACTTATTGAATCTTTTTTTAATTTTTATTTTTATATTAATTACATTTTATTCACTTTGTGTCCCAGCTGTAGCCTCCAACCCCATTCTGTCCCAACCCCACCTTCCCTCACTCAGCTCCTCCCATGCCCCTCTCCAAGTCCACTGATAGGAGAGGTCCTCCTCCCCTTCCATCTGACCCTAGCCTTCTTACTTCTTTCCAACTCAATGGGCCTCTCTTACTTGCCTAAACTGATGCTCTAGAATCAGGAAGTGAAGAGTGTGCCTATTCCTAAGAGTTCCAGGGGGCTTGCTCCTGGCACAGGGCTCACTACTTTTGAACACCCCCAAGAGACCCTCATTATAGCAGGTGATTGGGAGTAAGGCTAAAAAGGCTCCCCAGCTATAAGGACTGCAACATTCCAGTAAATGTTCTGGCAGGGAGAGTAGAATGTAGAACTGAAGATAAATGTCCCCAAATGGCTAAGGAAATGGAATGCCCTACACAGGCAGTGGGTTGAGGTGATGGCTACCCCTAAGTGTGACTCCTCCCTGGAGAAGGTCTCCATTCTTAGGCACAGTGACAGCAATCAGGGTCTACCAAGTAGCTGCAATGGTCTTTCCTGGGATCAGCTGTCTTCTTCTTTCCTTTGCAAGGTACATCATTCTCATGACTCTCCAAGATCGCAATGAGAAGCTCTTTTACCGCGTGCTGGCCTCAGATGTGGAGAAGTTCATGCCCATTGTGTACACGCCCACTGTAGGGCTGGCCTGTCAGCACTATGGTCTGACCTTCCGCCGACCTCGGTGAGTACCTTTGATGAGGGTCAGGAAGGGGCTGACTCGTAGAGGGTGAGAAATTGTTTCGAGTGTCCTTGCTTCTTGGGACCTCTAGAGGCTATCTTAGAGTTAATGGCTCAGGAAAGAGACATTTGATTTTAAATACACGCTCAGCAAAATAACACCACCAACAGAGAAATGAGCTGGGAGAATAGCTAACAAGAGGACATTGAATCTTCTCCACCTCCAAATGATGAATGTTCGAGGCGTTGGCTTGAGAAGTGGTTCCCATTGTCTTCAGCATCTCTACCTGTCACCGCCATTTGTCCTCTCCACTTTTCTGTACAGAACTCTGGGTAACTTGAGGACAGTGAGTAGCACTGGACACCCAACACACACTCTCTTGCTATTCTTTTTTTTTTTTTTTGAGCTTTCTTTTTTTTATATTTTTTATATTAATCACAGGTTATTTACTTTGTATCCCAGCCGTAGGCCCCTCCCTCACTCCCTCCCAATCCCACCCTCCCTCCCTCATCTCCTCCCTGCCTCTTTCCAAGTCTACTGATGGGGGGAACCTCCTCCCCTTCCATCTGACCCTACCTTATCAGGTATCTTCAGGACTGGCTGCAAAGTCCTCCTCTGTGGCCTAACAGGACTGCTCCTCCCTTGGAGGGTGGGGAGGTCAAAGAGTCTGCCGTTGAGCTCCTGTCAGAAATAGTCCCTGTTCCCCTTACTATGGGAAACCAATTACTGAGCTACCACGGGCTACATCCGAGCAGAAGTTCTAGGTTATATCCATACATGGTCCTTGGTCAGAGAAACAGTCTCAGAAAAGACCCCAGTGCTCAGATATATTTGGTCCTTGTGGAGCAACTCTCCTCTCCATGTTATACTAACTCCCCCTTCTTTCATATGATTCCCTGCACTCTGCCGAAGGTTTGGTTATGAGTCTTAATATCTGCTTTGATACACTGCTAGGTAGAGTCTTTCAGGGGCCCTCTGTGGTAGGCTCCTGTCCTGTTACCTGTTTTCTCCTACCTCCAATGTCCATCCCATTTATCTTTCTAAATGAGGATTGATCATCTTACCCCGGGTCCTCTTTCTTGTTTATCTTCTTTAGGTGTATAGATTTCAGTATATTTATCCTATCTTATAGGTCTATATAAGTAAGTATATACCGTGTGTGTCTTTCTCCTTCTGGAATACTTCACTCAGAATGATCTTTTCTAGATCCCACCATTTGCCTGCAAATTTCATTATTTCCTCCTTTTTGATTGCTAAGTAGTATTCCATTGTGTAAATATACCACAATTTCTGTATCCATTCCTCATTTGAGAGACATCTGGGTTGTTTCCAGGTTCTGGCTATTACGAATAAAGCTGGTGCAAACATGGTTGAGCAAATGTCCTTGTTGTGTACTTGTCTCTTACTATTCTTTAAATCAGTATATCTCCATTTGGAGTTGACATAGATTCTATGTAAAATATCAATTTATTAAGCAAAGAATATGGCATTGCATTTTCTCCTAAAGCTAAAAAAGGGAGGCTTTGCTTTCATTTTTAGTACTGAAAAAACAAAGGTATAAATATATTTGTGCCCCCCAAAAAAGGGTCTTAATGGTTCTCAGTGCAAGGTACCTAATCATTGTAACTATATTGTTCTTCCATTAACAATAAAAGGTGTGTCTAGATAATGTCATATGTAATGGAACATCATAGGAAAACAATTATAAATATACAGTATACTGTAAACAAATATATAATTTATTTGTAGAGTATTTATAAATCAGATTTCTTGTTTTGATTTTCTTTTATTTGTTATGGCTTACTTTTCTTATCTTTATTCTTACTAATTACAGTTTATTCCCTTTGTATCCCAGCTGTAGCTCCCTCTTCCCCTCCCAATCCCACCTTCCCTCCACCCATGCCCCTCCCCTAGTCCACTGATAGGGGAGGTCCTCCTCCCCTTCCATCTGACCCTAGCCTATCAGGTCTTATCAGGACTGGCTGCATTGTCTTCCTCTGTGGCCTGGCAAGACACCTCCCCCCTGAGGGGATGGTGATCAAAGAGCAGGCCATTCAGTTTATGTTAGAGACAGTCCCTGTTCCCATTACTAGGGAACCCACTTGGCCACTGAGCTGTATGGCTTACTTTTTATCTTTATTTATCATTTATTTATTTTATTTTCTTGAGACAGGGTTTCTCTGTGTCACCCTGGCTGTCCTGACACTAACTCTATAGACCAGGCTAGTCTCGAACTCACAGAGATCCACCTGCCTCTGCCTCCTAGGTGCTGGGATTAAAGGCACGAGCTGCCGCCACCACCACCTGGTGTGTGTGGCTTAGTTTTTAAAGACAGGTTCTCGCCCAGAAACTGCAGCAAAGCTGTCTGAAATGTTTTGTTCCCCTTGCATCAACCCTCTTGGGTCACAGGACTGTACCACCACTCCCACTTACGAACCACTTGTTTTTTAAATCATCTGTTATATGGGGAACATGTAATCATGGATCTATAACAGCTTTGTTAATTTGTGCTGCGCTGTGAAAAATAAATGTAAAGAATTTGAATTTTAAAAAAAATTTCCCTGTGGGCTGTTATGCCCTAAGTGAGATATCTGTTATCAACTGCTTCAGAGTTAGGAAGCATCCAGAAGAGGGATTGGAAAGAACATATAAGCCAGAAGTTTGGGAAGAGGACTGCAGGGTAGCATGGTCTGGAGGTTTTGTTCATGAACTCACTGTAGCTGCAGTGCCCTGCACAACAGTGGTCGTTACTTTGTGTCATGAGGAGGGAGCTCCTGAGGACCCCTCCTTCCCTGAAGAGCTACAGACAGGCAATGGGTGCTGGGGAAGAGGGTGTTGTTTTCTTCAGTGGTATAGCCACTGATCAGTTGCCCATATTCCAGTAAATAAGCCCCACTAATGTACAAGAAACTTTAATTAAACTCAGTGAGTCAAAAAATAAAAATAAAAATAAGACGTTAAAGCAGGGCTGATTATTAGGGAATAGAAGAGTTTCAAAAGGGGAGAGACAAATGAGTGTAATGGGGGTGAAATGAGCAAATATTCAGAATAACCATGTATGAAATTGTTAAATAAAAAAATAGAAACAAAAAACAAGCTAAGAGGAAAAAGTGGGGAGGCATTTCAGGGTACATGGAATTAATTAGGGTTAGGAATGTACAGAAATAGGGACCACCCTATCTTCTAAGCTGGCTAACTCCTCCTGGGTCAGCAGACAGCTCTTCAGGAGGGGACATGTGGAAGGCTGGTGATGACCTCTATAAACTGATGACAGGACTACTCCCTTGTATGGTCAAGGGGAAGGTTTTTATTTCAGATGAGTGAGAGAAGACACAGAGACAGAGAGAGAGCGCAGCCAGAGGCATCTGGAAGAGTCCAGAGCAGAGAGAAAGTAGTAGGCTGAACATGACCAGCAGTCTGAACCTGACCATGAGAGCAGAGCAGAGAGGGGGAGAGAAGAGTGAGAGAGCAAGACAAAGAAAGGACCAAGAAAGAAGCTTAGCTGAAATAGCAGGGTTACAAGGAGAAATGAACAGCCCATGGGAGGGAAGGCCAAGAGTCAGAGAACTTTAGGGCAGGAGCAGTGGTAAAAAGAGCTGAGGTTAGGACGTGAGCATGGACTCTGAAATGTGTAACAAGTCCTTATGACCCTGGAGAGGCTGGAGGCCAGCATACACTTTGGTATGATAATGCACACCACACATAACCGTTTGACTCTTCTGTCAGTGATAAGGGAAATGGCTCCTTTTAGTAGTACTGGCTTTTGTCTAACGAGAATTTTGGAAAACGGAGTTTCCTTTGGACCTGACGGACTTACGAGTGTTTCTCTGGGGAATGGGAAATAGGAAACAAAAAACAAAAAACAAACAAACAAAAAAAGAGACTACTCTTTTTTTGAAGACTTGTATTGTTGCTGTTGGCTGCTGTTATGGATGTAGTTGTTGGAAACTGAGGGATATACAAAGAGCAAGAGGAATTTCTCTTTTAATGGTGTGTTCTGGTGTGAGACCAGCTGAAGCAGTCTTCCCGGAAGGTGACCAATGGCTGCTTCCTTCCCATCTTCCACGCTCAGCTCTGTATCACCCTCTGGTCCTGGTCTCATTACACTGTTTTGTTTTCTTTATAACACTAGCTCCTATCTCTAATACTCCCATATGTGTTCGCTTCTACCAAGAAAAAGAATGGCATTTTTAATTTTATTTGTCTAGATACTAGCCTTTCTCACGATGCATAGTTGAGACAGTGTTCTCCAAACTGGGAGTGAGCAGGAAACTTCCAGATTGCTTACTATACTGCCTCATAGTTCAGGGCTGGGCACACACGTTGGGCATTGCAGTTCCATGAGTGATTGACTGCCCAGGGTCTTGGTGATGATTACCAGATGCCATTGGAGGGCCACTCCCCAGGGGAAGGATCTAGTCAGGCCCTTGGTCTGCGGCTGGTTGAGGCTGAGGCACGTTCAGGCATACCGAACTGTCTCCTTGGATTAGATCCTCACACCTAGTACGGTGCATTTTTCTAACCCTTCTTCGGATGACTACCCAATTAAGTGATTTGACATGTGGCGTTCTGAGCTGTTGCTGCTCTGGGTTTCCATTTGGCCCCTTTCCAGGTGCTGATTTCATACCCGCCTTGCTCCGAAAGGTGAGGAGACTTTGGGTTCTGCTCTAGCCCCCAGCCTCATCTGAAGCCTGGCCTAGGATGGCTTCATCGATAAACATCTGAGGGAAGAACACCACAGGGCCAAGGGGAGGAGGAGAGCCAGGCCCTCTCCGTTTCTGAAATGATAGACATTCCTGCCAGGTTGCCGTTAACAAAGAATGCTCTGTAGAAGGCTCTGCACCCCCACCAAAGCTAACTAGGTCCAGCCAACGCCAACGCTAGAATTGAGGCTGCAACACTAAAACTAACACTTCAACACACCTCAGCTCCACATCACCTTGGAGCCTGGAAGGAGATACCAGAGTATCTTGCGGGTACCTAAGAGTCTTGAGTAGCTCTCC